ACTGCAGGGCCCGGCTCCTGCCCGCACCGCCCGGCCCCACACTGCAGGGCCCGGCTCCTGCCCGCGCCCGTCTCCGCCCCCGGGCAGGCAGCCTGCGACAGGATGAGAGGGACAGTCTTAAACTGCGCCTGGGGAAGGTTAGGTTGGACATTAGGAAGAACTTCTTCACAGAGAAGACTGAGTAGATACTGGAACAGGCTTCCCAGGGATGTGGTGGAGTCACCGTCCCTGGAGGTGTTTAGGGAAATACTGGACGTGGCACTCAGTGCTGTGGTCCAGTTGACAGGGTGGTGTTCGGTCACAGGTCGGATTCAGTGATCTTGGAGCTCTTTTCCAACCTAATTGATTCCCTAATCTGCTCCCGCGGGGCAAGGCCCAGCAGCAAGCGGCCCCGGCGCCCTCTCCCTCAGCCGCCGGCCCGGCCCGAAGCCCGCGTTCCCAAGCGAGAGGCCGCACGGGGTATTTATTTAAGGAGATTTCACCCAGGAGCTGCTGATCAAAGCTAATGCAAAATAAATGTCTCCCTTTAATAGCCTGATTCCTCGAAGCCCTTGACACTGGAAATTGGGATTTCCCCGTGCCATTAGCACTTAGCAGTAGGCGCTCCAGCCCAGCCAAGAACAAGGGATTAAGAGGCATTTGTCTCAACTAATTTCTCTCTCTATACCAAGTCTATAGAGACTGGTGTTACTCTGCTGGAATTGTGCAACACGGCTAATTGGCTACAAATTTAACAGTGGCAGGGCTCCCACCGCAAGGCTGCCGTGTATTCATTACCGCCGTTCTCCCTCAAACGCGCCGGCACCTGGGCTGCCCCTGCCCTGGGAAATGACCGCCTTGGCATGGGCCGGCTCCTGGCTCTGGGGAAGGTGAGACTTCTGTCTTGCCTCCCCGGGGAGCTAGGCTGCCTTGTGGAAAACACAGCCAAACAATTAAAATCGTCATTATCCTAGAAAAGGGATAGATGTAGTGCAGGGTCAGCAAAATTTTATTTTTGTGAACTATCATTCAGGGTGGATGTTGACTTTTTTGCACAGATATTATACCACTAGTCACCTCCCTTCCAAAAACGGGGGACAAAAACCTGTCATATTTGGCTGTGATTATTTGAAATTCCTTCCTCCAGGCTGTTTTGCACCTTGACTCCACTGTTTGCTTCTTTATTGCTTGACCACAAGCTAAAGCAAAAGGTAGTTGAGTTTATATTATGCATGCATCTGACCAAGGGGTCATTAAGGGTACACAGATTTTTGTTTTATTTGTATGTCAGTCAAAAAGGGTTCCTAGAATAGTCTGGAACTAAGAAAGAAATTCTAGGAAAGCCCACAGCCTACATCACTGCTGCTGGAGAATGATTCCATGACAACCAGGACTTTATTCGTCTACCCCAAACTCCACCCCCTTACCCACAGTAGCACCAGACTTGCTTGTCTTAGGAGGGGAGGCAAAATTCTCTCAGCAGGACTATTTAGTTGGCCAAAATGAACTTCTCCACTCCCAGAGGTGCTGATTGAAATCTGAATGGCCATATGAGTCAGTCAGGACCTCAATAACCTAGTCTTTCAGAGCTAACTTCATGAGATGAACCACTGCATCACTGTTGCCTTGAACAGAAAGGTCATCCTGAAGTTTTGATTTATCCACCTCAGCTGCCCAGGAGCCCAGGGAACTGGCAAATAAAAAAACCAGTAAAACAGTAGTTTCCCAACACCAGTTCAGATAATGTTTTAAGACACTAGATTCACAAACCAGTTTGTGTTTCTGCCTGAGTAATTTTACTTCTCGTCATTCAAGTTCAAGGGTGAAACTCAAGGTCTGTGGTTTGTCTGTTGAGTTCAGTGTCTTATAATACCTATTCCATATGGTTATGAAACTCCAGCCTCATCCAGCCAGGCCGAACTATCAGGACACTATTGCAAAAGTAGCTGTTTAAAAAACACTGCAACACTGTTGAATCTTGGCATGTGCTGCTGTGCACAGTTAGCCTATGCTGATAAAAGTCCATGAAAATTCACAGAATGAAAGTCCATCTTTAGTGAGATGGATGGGAAACACCCAGAACTTCAGCAGAAACAGAGTTTTACTGAAGAAAGACAGATTTCCAGCCACTCATTGAGTTGATCCAAACAGACACAGGAACCAAAGCCAGGCTGGCAACGTTTGCCCCCCCTCTTCCTTATGTACACCCCAATGAGAAGTTAACAAGTGGTGTCTGTTGATGTGGAACACACTATTATCCTGCAACACAAAGATAGCATCAATTTTAATCCCAGTCTACAAGGTAACAATAAACTGCTGGCTAAGAATCAAACTAATAATATCAGTCCGTGCACACACAGAAACAATTCTGTTAAAAATCTAACATCCTAGGTGTTGTTAATCAAACTGTTCAAGGTAGGCCTCTTTTATGGACTTAACCAAAGTGTTTTCTGAGATGTGCATAGAGAATACCACAATTCAGAAAGAACACCTTCATTATGAGGTAACAATGGGATGCAGAAGGCATAAAATACGATGATGATTCAAGATGTTCCACTTCTGTACAAGATGTAACTAAAATATCATCATGGCTTGTCAGGAGCAGAGGTTGTCTGCTGAGGCAGTAAGTACCCCTGATAACTTCATCCAGTAGCCAGAGGCCAAGCTGCCTAGCCCCCTCTCATTAAGGGAGAAGTGCTCCATTCAATGAGGCATTTCAACAGTGGTCTACCTTTGAACGTGCAAATACCCCCATTAAATCTGGTGGATCAGGGCCAAAACTAATTAATTTAGTGATGCTTTGCATCAAAATCTCACTTGCAATACATAGCACTCACAATCAGAAAGGCAGGGGATTAATTAAACTATTTAGAAAGCTGAGCAGGTTAGGACTGGGTTAGGAATAAAGAGCATAATGATATCCTTAGTGGAAGCCAGAAAAGCAAATGATCGCTGTGAAACTGATAGGAATTTCCTAAGGATTTATTTCTGTTTAGTTTTTTTTTTGTGAGATAAATGAAATGGGTCTGGCAAGGCAACCAATTTTGGGCCCAAGAGGCCATGCACTTTTATTTAGATTCCTTCTTTCACCCTATTGTCAGACATGTCTTAAATGTGAACTGAGAGGCATTCATGGCTTCACTGTACCTAGCTTAGTAAGGAGGCTGGACAAAAAGACATAGGTTTGACAAGATGTTGTACTGCAGTGGAAAAAACAGATTCTGATGGATTACACTCACTAACAAAACAAGAAAACAAATAGTCAAATACTTACTAGAACAATATTTGAGAAAGTAGAACAGAAAGTAGAACAGCCTGCAACACTGCAGACTCTCTGGCTGAGACTAATTCTCTAAGGCCTCTTGCAGTCTTATCAGTAGCTCCACCGTGACATCCTCTCTGTCAATTGAAGGGTGCTGCTTTGCACCTGCTGAGGATTTTGCCATTAAACTCACCCAGCCTGTGTCAGGTGACCTCTCACAACCTTTCTGCAACACTGCAAAATCTTTAATGGTTTGGCGCTGCCCAAAACCATTCCATTTTGTTAGAGGAAAGTAAACAGTATTTCACCTGCCTGGGAGGACCCTTCACTTTGAGCTGATTAAGGAGGAAACACTGTCACAACCTCAGTTCTTCTAATGTGACCATCAGTAATGAATGGCTGAGGTGACTGATCTTTTCATTATATGGCTGGTCTATTTCCTATGGGTGTTTCCCGTGACTACAGGAAATTATGGGCATGTCATAGTTTAGGAATAGTGTTCCCAATTCAGTGTTCCCACTGTGCACCACACATCACCTCTTCACAGGGATGGAGAGGAGAACTGGAGGCACAAAAAGGTGAAGATCACAGGTTGAGGTAAGAACAATTTACTAGAAACAACAACGAAATAAGAAAACTAACAGTGATAACAACAATAGTAACAAGAATGTTCAAGATAGGTGAACGATTCACATTTGATTGTGCAAGGACTCACCTCTGATTGCTCAAGGAACAGTGCCCCTCCTGGGTGCTGTAAAAATTAACCCTGTCCTGGCCAGAACCAGGACAGGGCAAAGAAATGAAAGACTCATACCAGTCAATGATGAACACTCCAGAGTCAGTGCAACATGAAACCAGCATGTCCATATATGCTGTTTATTAGCACATATGTGTTTAAGGTTCTGTTCTCTATAAAGTGGCAGTCAAGAACTGAACAGCTATGGGTTTGGAAAATTTTTTCCTACCAGGAAATACATTTTGTATGAACATTGTATGGATCCTTTTGCAAAAAGAAATCCCAAAGAGACTTAGCAGCATCTTTGCAAAAAACAGGTCCAAAGTCTTTTAATTTTTAAACATAATAAATTTTCCTTTGTTCAGACAGGTGAGTCTCTCTGAAACAACTATTTACAGTCCTATTTAGGAAGTTATAGATTTTGATAAACTTCCAGAACACTAGAAAACAATCCAGACTGAACACAAGTTTTTGACATTACACTTGGGAAATGACTACCTTTGCAAACATTAACATCTCCATGCCTAAGCCTTCAGTTCCAACAGTCCTGTACGTTCATGCATGGAAAAACCTATAAGAATACTGACATGCCAGAATGTTCGCAGGATCACTGCCTGTGAAAGGTTATTCACAGACACAGTTTCAGGCAAAATCACACCCTCAGAGTTATTACAACTCTGCCAAAGCCATGGAAAGCAAACTGTTTTCTACTGTGTGAGGAACAATAGAACTATTCTGGACAAGATTTATTCTGAAAAGTAGACATTGAGGATAGTCATAATTTTCTTTTCAGGGCCCCAAAAGCTGCTGTGCCTGACCATGAAGGTTGCCACAGGGCATATCAACCAGAAAAGCTAAAGGCAGAAAAATCAGAAACTGAAAGTGAAAGCACAAGCTTTCCCTTCTGTACACCCCACTCCACACACTCCCATGGATTGTTTCCTTTGCCATGTTTCCTTTTCCACAGAAGACTGAAAAATGAATCCTGGAATCATTGGACTTACAAGCTAGCAAAAGCACTTGATGCTGCATTGCAGCCACAGAGGATTCCAAAGCAGACATGTGTTCTATGTCCTGGGCAGTGATTGTGCTTCTGGGCTGCAGAACCCTCTGTGAAGGTCTGTAGGGAGGGAACACGCCTGGGGGTGGGGCATCACACACTGGTTATCACTGATTTTTCCCCAGCAATGATGATAGCTCCACAGCACCTCAACATCCAGTGATGAAGACTTTGTTTTCCCCTTCTGGGAATTACCAGCCAGAGGGATGTGGACCCAAATCACCAGCTGCACTCCAAGGTGTCAGAGACCTGAGAGCAAGCACCTCCCTAGGTAGGTTCTCACCTTGAGGAATTAGAGAGAGCCACTTAAGGCAGAACAAAAGCTCTTGGTTTCTTACCCCAGCTCACTCTCCAGGTGACACGATGTACACTTCTCATGACATCTACATCTACCCTGATCTTCCCCAGCCCCCTGCCCACAGCATACTGTAAGCCTTCTTTAATCTCCTGCCAGGCACTGCAGACTTACCCCCTGCCTTCTCTGACAGCCTAAAGCAAGGAGTGCACTGCCCCATACCCACTTGAAGGAGCAAGACTCAAAAATAAAAAAATACCAGATCACCATGGACCTACATTAAAAATGCCTCTCTCACACATGCTATGCCATTCATAGGTTTGTCATACTGTGTGGGTGACCATACGCTGGAACAGATTGCCCGAAGAGGCTGTGGAGTCTCCTTCACTGGAGATATTCCAGAACTGACTGGTCACAATCCTGTGCCATGTGCTCTGGGATGACCCTGCTTGAGCAGGGAGGTTGGACCAGATGATTCACTGTTCTCCCTTCCAACCTGACCCATTCTGGGATCCTGTGATTCTGTGGGTAGAAGTCAGGTTGCATAGGAAGCACTCTGAGCTCTAAAGAAGCTGCAGAGAGGTACAAAGCCTCCTCTTATATGTGGTGGAAAAGAAGACAACAAAGGCAAAATCTAGGCTAGATATCTGTGATCTAATAAAATCCCACCCACATCAGCAGCAGCACTGAGCTTTGTATTGGGAAGTTTCATGCCTGAGCAGTGGATTCCAATTGCAGTGAAATTTTCTCTGAGATCAAGACACTTAAAATGTCCACTTTTTTATGTTTTTAGAGTTTTTTGTGTTTTGGGTGAAATCCCAAACATAGATGACACAATAATTACAGGCACAAATACATGTTGAGTCCTTTGAGAGGAACAGGGCTGTATCTATTCCACATGCTAACATAATCAGTGACATCCAATATAATTGAAAACTGTTTACACTGTCAGTAATAATCCTGGAAAAAAGAGCTTCTTTTTATTGACACTCACCTCATTCCAGAGATCAGCAAAAATGTGGGTAGCTGTTAGAGCCAGCCACAGAGATTTTGTTTTCTCTAAATAAATCTGAATAAACAATAAAAGGTTAAGTGCTCTTTTTTCAAAGCTTGAAACACAAGCAAACAAATTGAGGGTAGAGAACTCAATTATATCAAGCAGAAGCTACTGGCAGTTACACTCAGCAGAGCTGAATAATTTTCAATTACTCTGGGAAGAAAGGTCAACAAAATATGTTCCCCAATTTGTCCATTCCTAAACCCAGTCTTTCTAATGTGAGTGCCCTTAGTCAGGGTAATTCAGTGGGGTTTTCTTTCCAGCAAGCCCCCTTTTCCCTACTTTGATGTATCAAGTTCTTTCCTTAGCATAAATATGTGCCTGGTACAGAGAAAGCATTTGAACCCCCACCTTCCAAAAGCCAAACTTCCACTCTTTCACTGCCAAACATTCAGCCAGAGAGGTGCTACAACATGACAGCTGCTGCTCCAAGTAGCTCTCTGATTCAGGGTGCTGGAAAATGAGATAGCCCCATCCCTGAGTGACCTGTTGTTGTAATGCAGTTAGGAAAAATGGTCCAAAGAATGTACCCCCAAAAATGTAGACTTGTAAGTTCTTTCCCTTATCTTGTTTTCCCCAGGTTCCCTTATTGGTTGTGTAAATCTCCCACACCCCCTTCCCCTGTCCTGAAAAAGGGGATGCCTCTCATACCTCTTCCTCTTTCCCTCCTGCCATCTCACGCTGAAGGATCCTAAGGAATAAAACTACAACTGCCATCTCAGCAAAGGGAAAGAGCCTCGTTTTTAGGGCCTCGTCTGGCAAGCTAAAACCACTTCCCCAGCTTCCCTGCTCGCTGCAGGGTGGACAGTGGTAACAGAGAGGTTGGGGACTCAGTTATTATAGCAACCTGTGTCAGTGTCAGAGCTTCCCAGCCGTCTCAGCGCATTCCAGGAGCATTTCCCAAGAAGGGACTGCAGAGGCTCAACAGGGCTGGCCAGAAGAAAAATGTCGGATCATGGCATGACTGTGATTCCTATGAAATGATGTCAGGAGTTCTGAGTACAGCATACCAATTTTGTCATACCTCACCAGCTCTGAGACTTCATCTCTGCTTCCATCATTCTACTACACTTACAGCTTCAGAGTTTCTTGATGCAATTTATCCTTGGTTTTTCTCTCAGTAGAGTTTTGGGGGTGTAGAGGGTTATGTGAGTTTTTCTCTCCAAGAGGCATCAGGAATGGAGTTACACTTTGTGTCACAAAGCGTCTCCATCACCACAGAAAGAGAAAAGAAACTTCTGCTTTGGTGTACATCACAAACTCATATATATATAACAAACAACATATGCAGGCAGGACGGCAAAATTTCTAGCATATGGAATGAACAAGGAAATTTTCTATGTACTTCTGTTTTCACATACAGCAGCACCTAAGTGTGGCAATTACAGTATCAGGAAAGATGCTCAAATGTTTATTTCTCCATTAGGACTTTACACTGCTATCTGGTCTAAATGGTGAAGTGAATCCCAACAGAAGGAGCTTTTATGATGATAGTGTCATTTTTACATCAAATACAAGCTGATGATCTTCAGTGGAAGGAGAAAGCCATTAAAAATTGACTAACCTATTTTTTAGTCAGAAAAGAGAGGTTTTATTTAAAACCTTTGTGTGAGAGGCAATCCATTTATCCTCAAATACCTGCCCATAAACTTGCCAGTATATGTAGAGAGAATGCAAAAGAAGAAAAATAAACCTATTTTCTTAGTTCCCACACAATGCACAAAAACTGTCCACTTCGTATAAAAGAGGGTTTGAACTGCCTAGGTTTTAAATGGATTCTGGACAGGAAAACTCCCTCACTCTTAGATTCAGTCCTTCCTTTGAGGTATGCAATTGTTGCTAGCTTCTCATTGGGTGAATTTTCTCTTTTTAACACTGGCTTATATTTCATAGAACCCACCTCAGGCTGCACCTCAAAAGTTATCTGATGACATCTCTCTTATGAGAATCATGGGAGAGTCTTGGTGCAAGACGATGGACCCCATTTGGAGGTCTTGGACTGTGTCAGGAAAAAGCAATAGAAAGGTATAGGCTTAAAAAGTCTTGCAAGTCTTATAGACATAGTGTGTGCCACTGGCAGCTCAGTACAGCCTTGTATTTTAGGAGAACCTAAATGTCAGACACTGCTGACCTGCTTCCATCACCTCATTTTTATAATGTGAAATAAAATAGTCAAAGACATAAGAAAAAGCAGTGAAGAAGAAATGGCAATTATGTCATCCCAGTCTCTCAGTTGCTTCCTAATTCCACTTCGGTATTCCACTCACCTGCTCACCCTCTCAGTGCACTCTTCTGTGAGATTGTCCTGATGTTACCGTCTTTGCTGCCTAGAAAACAACCATGGTTTTAGGTGGGTGGCTTACAGGTTCCACAAAGAGAGTCTCAAATACCTCATCCCCTGGCAGGATATTCTTCAGTGTACACACATTACATAGGTACTGCATTGCTGAAATATTTGGGAACTAAAAGCAAGCTAAGAAAAGAATCAGTAACTTATTCTTAAAAAGCAACTTTTGGACCACCACAGCTGTCCTCTTCACATCCCTGTACAACAGAGGAAGTTCTCCAGCCCCCTTCCACTTAGAGGAAAGGGGAAATCAAAGATGTGGTAAGTAAACTGTTTCTTGTCCCAGTTTTCTGTACCTCTGAGCATTTCCGGGCTCATGAGCATGCTTGGTACCTAATGTGGAAGGCACTTCTTCAGGACTGTTTCCAAAAGGTAGGGAAGGGCAAGAGGGATTGTGCCTTAGGGGCCAGCAGCTCCAACCTCTGTCATCTGCCTGCTGCCACTCCATGATTTTTAATACTGTCTTTCACATTTAGAAGGGCCCCTGATAATCACCCACAAAGTGATTTCATCATTCCATTTCAAATCCATTTTTTCCACTCTCCTGCAAAATATTTCCAGATTTGGGGTGACTGTTGTGCTACAACCTACTGCACTGACATCATCAGAGTGCTACAGGTGTTCCCTGCTCTGGGTGTTATCTTGCAAAACATTTTAAGGATTATACATAGCAGACCACCCTGCCTTGTTTCTCAGTGGGTTCTGTACAAAAGTATTCAGATCCATGGCTAGGTTCCAAGTAAACTGTGCTAATAAAAAGCAAAAAAAGATGATTTCCCGAGCTCTGCATGTATCATTCAACAACAACAACAACAAAATTCAGGTCAAATATAAGCAATAAACTCCAGGTCAAATTTAAGCAGTTTATTTGCTTCCATTTTATTGACAATGAACAACTCTTAGTGGGTAAACCTAAAAATATACCTCCAGTAACAATTGTTTTGCCTTGGGTATTTATGCAGCATTCCAACTACAGCATCTATATAGCATTTCTTTTTCCCCACGCATACAAATACACACTCATACTTAATACATTAGCATTTCCACTATACATTTTTGCAGTGTATCCAGTTAAGCAAATTGCTCAATTAGCTGAATAGGGTTTTTTCTTTTCATTGTGTAAAGACAGAGTCTTACCGAATGGAACAGCATTCTCGGTAAGAGGTCAGTTGGGTGTGATTTTTGGAATAAAGGAGAGAGGATGAGTGGGTTGTAAACGATTTTTTTAATTGTTCATATTTTATTGCCTTTAAAAGCCAAAGCGAGAGGGCAAACCAACACACGTCCTGGTTCATGCTGGTACATAACTGTAGCGTGTTGTAGAGAAAGCCCACCATACTTAGCAGAATTTTCCTGTTACAGTGTGCACCTCATGGACACAGAAAAGATTGTGGGACTGTCAAATAACGAGTGTCAGGGAATGGTATATCCACTCGTTGGTAAAATAAGTCAGTTAATTTGGCAGGTAAGTATTAAGTAATCATATTGTCAGAACAAGGCAAGTGGCTAAGAAAGGAAGACAAAGACGAAAATAGAAAATAGAAATACAAGGAAATAGGAAAGAACCAAAGAGGAGAGGGGGAAGGGAGGGAATGTGTGAGTTTGATGGCCAAGCAATGAGAGAGTAAGCAATGATGATCCCTCTGTTCTGGATGGTTCCAGGTCACCCTGTCCTAGTGTCTCACGCTGGACTCCATTGCTGCTTTTCCACTGTCTGAGTCTAAACATCATTCCACCCAAGTTTTATTACCTATGGAATGTAATGGCTGAGAAAAACTTGAGCAAGTTGGATATTTTCTCATCCATGTTTTAGAAGACCTTTTTCAAGAAATTTTACCATTTTCACGCTCTCTATGGATTTTTACAATTTTTGCCTACTCAAGTATTAGAAAATATTAGTTTAATTTTTTTTTAATTAATGTTGTTCTATCTTGATTTGA